TCAGCCCCTAGGAGAGGACAGATGCCCCTCACACTGCTGCAGCCATGTGACAAGCACAAGCTGTCAGGACAAGCATTCAGACTGAACAGGGCCAAGGAGAAAGGCTGCAGAGGTGCCACCTGCACTCTCCTCAGGCAGATCCTGTGCAGCACGCTTCCACAGCAGCAGATTAACAAGGATTTTGTCTGGAAGCTTCAGTCACCTCTGTGAAGTTGTCTGGCTGTAAATACACACTTCACAAGCCCTTCCTGGAGGGCTGTCCAGAGGAACATGCTACTGATTCCTCAGGATTAAACCCAGCCCCCTCTTAATGTCTATACTTGAAAAGAATCTTCTTTACCTAAATGGATTAATTAGGAAGACTATAAACCACACATGCAAAGCCACTCACACTACAAGATGCCCTGTGTCACCCCCAGCCTTGCAGGGGAAGATGCTCCCCAGACACTCCTCATGCAGGAAAGACAAACCCTGCCCTGATGAGCCTTTGTCTGCCCACAAGTTCTGAGCTGAGGTACCACACAACACCCTGGCTTGTCCTGCATGGGGCAGCACTGCCAGAGGAGCTTCTGCTTTGTGTGACCAGCAAAAATGAACTGTGTGAACTTCCAAAAGCTTTTGCTTTGTGTGACCAGCAAAAATTAACTCTGTGAGCTTCCCTTAGCAGTGGCTTCTGCACAAGGGGGTCTGACAGTACAACCTGAAGCTGTACCAGAGCCCCTCATCCTCTGCAGGGAGGGCATTCAGGTGACACACAGCAGGAACTACTTTCTCCTGAGTCCATGACCACAGCTGATCCATTTTAGTGATGCCATCTGCCACAGCTCTTAAATAAGGCACTGCAGCAGCTTCTCACTGCAGCTTTCCCTGTGACACAGCCTGCCCTCAGCCAGGAATGCCACAGGAAGGATTGTCTGCTGGGCATGTCACAAACAATCAGGGGCCTGATGAGCTGTGGGGGTGGTGAATGCCTCTGTGGTACAATGTCACAGACATCTTTTATGAAAATCCTTTCCTTAGGATTTCTCCTCCTGAGAAGCTGGGAGGCCTCAGGAACAAAATGCAAACAATGGTTATCTGCAGCAGTGGAATGCAACAGGTGCATCTGGGATTGGTCTCATGTGGTTGTTTCTAATTAATGGCCAATCACAGTGAGCTGGCTCAGACAGAGAGTCCTTTGTTATCATTCTTTCTTTTTCTATTCTTAGCTAGCTTTCTGATGAAATCCTTTCTTCTACTATTTTAGTATAGTTTTAATGTAATATATATCATAAAATAATAAATCAAGCCTTCTGAAACATGGAGTCAGATCCTCAGCTCTTCCCTCAACCTCAGACCCACCATGAACACTGTGTACCCACCTCCAGTGCCACCGTGCTCTGCCTGCCGTGGCCCTGGGAGGGGACCCAGCCCCCAGGCAGCCCCACAGGGACCCCACTGTGGTGGTGAGGGCAGGGGAGATGGAGCTGTAGCTGCTCCTCCCTGCAGGTGCTTACCTGTCCCCTCAGATGAGCTGCACAGCCCCCGAGGCCACCAGAGGGGCCACGGTTCTGTAGCGGATCAGGTGCTGCGAGCCCTCCTCCAGATCGATGGCATATTCCCTGCAGAGACAGGGGGTGAGAGCTGCTGCTGCCCACAGGGACACCGAGACACAGGGACACTGAGGCACAGGGACACCGAGGCACAGGGACACCTGTGCCCCACACAGAAATGCCCCCCTACCTCTGCTCATCCGTCTCTGGCTCCACCAGGATGTTCTCCTGCCGCTCCAGCACCCGCAGGAACACAAAGGAGTCCAGATTGGGCTTTGGGACTGCAGATAAAACATTGAGAGCACAAGCTCAGCCCTCATTTCTATTCCTCTGCAGAGCACCAAGGGCTCTGACAGGTAACAAACTGACAGGTAAACAAAGGGAACACCAGGGCCTTGTAACCAGATGTGAGACAGGACTTGGCAGCAGCAGCACAGAACCACGTTACAACATTGCCATCACATCATCTTTTCTCAACTGAAGGACTCAGCCCTTACATTTGGGGCTCCCTGGAGCTCTCCCCACTCTTCTGAGTGCTTCTACAATTTTCAGATTACCATGGAGTCCGGAGAGACTCACCTGACTTCAGGAGAGACACTTTCTGCAGGTTAGGTGGCATGTGCTTCAGGGCCACGTTTTTCAGGTAAGCCTCTGTGTTTGCCATGTACCTGAAATAAACCATTGAAGAATTGATTAATCAAATACAAATCTGCAGGGAGAGAACTGCTCAAATCAAGAGTAAGAAACAGCTTCTCATCTTCATTCCATGGGCACAGCCAAAAACAAGCCCTTGGCCTACCCTGGTAGATGACTCAAAGTCATTTTCAGTTCCTTTCTTGCCCACAAGGAAACCTCCTGGTAAGACACACTGATTCTTACTTCAGACTGTCTGCTCACAGTCTCAATAACATCAGCAAATGCACACAGATAAGTTTCTATAATCTATAAAAGGGGAGGAAGATATATTGAAAACCTACTCACTCTGTAGCAAAAGCAAACTCCTCTGGTGATAAAATGGAGGGCTCCCCTTCAGCTCGAGACTTCTCCTTCTCCAAGATGTGGGGAAAAAACTTCTCTATCTGATATTGAAACACAGCCCAAAAGGATGACACAGATCTCTCACAAGTTCAGTGTTTAAACCCCACTCTCCACTGGATTCCCTACAAGCTGCAGGAGCAGCTGCAGGCTGCCCAAATCCCTGCTCCTGAAGTAACTGTGACACCACCAAGGCACACAACCAGCAGGACACAGGGACAGGAGTGGGACACACTCAGCTGTGCCAGCCCAGGCTCAGATAAAGCCAGCAGCACTCACAATATTATCATCAACACTGCTGTGATCTTCCTGCATTACAACATCAAATTAAAAAATTAATTTGAGTTACATTTCAGAGAACACCCTTTAATGAAATGTTGTGCTGAGGCAGGAGGCCCTGTGCAGGTAAAATCCCCCTGAAATGCCCCTTTTTCCCCCTCTGGGCTGCAGTGTTACCTTCACCAGCCGACACCTCAAGTAGCTGCTGAGCACGAAACGGATCCGCTCGATCTCCATGTGATGCACGCTGACCTTCAGGTCTCCTTTCTTGGCCCGTTTCAGGTTGGCTTCCTGCAAGAAAAAGCAACAAGAAATGAAAATTAAATGGCTGAAACATCAAAGAAATAACAGAGGAAAACAAGTTTTGTATATAGAACCCACAAAACCAGACTAAGGCTGTTTTTGATGACCCAAAGCTCACTGCTTCCTTTAGCATACTTTGGGTCAGCAAAATGTAATTTGTGTACTTGAGCCCCTTTCCAAGGCAAGCTCAAAGAAGAAACTCAGACAAGTTTTGTCTTAGAGGCAGGGGAGCAAACAAGCCCAGCACTCCCAAAGAGCCTCAGGCAAGCAGGGCCTGCCCAAACCACACCCGAGCCAGGAGCACCTACTGTGAAAACGCCAATCAGTTGTTTTTAGAATTTTAAAAGTGTAATAGGAATAAAATGCTTATAAAAATTGTAATATAAATAGAGTAATAATAATTTGGACAATTTGGATTAGGACAATATGAGACAATAGAAAGACAGAGTTATGAACAGTCCAGGTGCCTTTTTCTGGGCAAAATAAGCCCAAAAAAGGACCCACGTTAACAGAGGATTAACCCTTAAAAACAACAGCCTGTTGCATATTCATACACCTCATACATGATGCATAAATTCCATTCAAACACAGGATTCTGTCTTGTCAGTGTCAACTTCTTTCTCATAATCCTGACAGCATCATTCTGCCCCAGCGAGGCAGGAAGAAGTTCGTTTCTCCTGATAATGAAGCAATAAATTCTCTTTCTCTGAAAGATTCAGGTGTCCTGTGGCTGCTATCTCACTATGAGTCCTTTCTTTAGAAAAAAAGCATCCTACATAGCACAGTTTCTATTTCAACATTTTGTTATAGCCTAAAACTGTGAAAGAATCTAAAACTATATTTAACACACGACTTAAGAGAATTAACACAGCATCACTTTCTAACACAACACATACAATATTCACTTTAATATTTGCGAAAAGCCAATCATAAAGACTCATTTTTCACACCTACCATATGGTCCAGCTGCTCCACCACGCACTCGATGATTTCAGGTTTACTCTCCAGCAGCTCCGGAGCAAATTTCTCATTGAGCCAGGCCTGAAAGAAGGCACGCTGTGTGTGTAACCGAGGGAATCCTCAGCCCCACCGCCCCGCAGCCCAGCCCGTGGCTGCAGCCCCGGTACCTGCTCCAGGCTCTGGATCAGCTGGGCCGGGGTCAGCACCAGCTCCTCGCTCTCCCCGTCCGAGTCCCCGCCGGCCGCGGCCGCCATCGCTCCCGCCATCACGGGCCGGCCGCGCCACTGCGCATGCGCGGCATGCCCGGGAACATGGATGGGGAACGGCCCTGCGGCCGCTTGGTCAATCGGAAAACGCGCTGGGGCCGCCGCTCCTCCCTCTGACCAATCAGAAGGCGAATTGAAAAAAAAGCCATGTTCTTCAGCCAGTTAGGATGAAGACTGGAAAAGAGCCATCTTTTTCAGCCAATCAGAACGCAGATTGAAGGTGCTAGGCTATACAGGAAGCGGATTGATATGCAGCTTCCTCAGCCAATCATGGTACTGCTCTTGGCTGCGAGCTTTTTCAACCAATCAGGAAGCGATGTGAGCTGGCCAATCAGGAGGCGGACGCAGGACGCCGGCTAATCAGGAGGCGGATTCAGCTCTTTTGGAAGTCAGCTGGCTCGGGCTGCAGTGGCCTCCACCAATCAGGGAGCGGCGTCCNCTATTTCGGGGCCACCGCTCCCAGCTCGTTCATCATTTCCATGACTTTTCCTAGAAAACGGAGCCGCTACGAGCAGACCGAGCCGCACCCGCAGCTCTATCCCTGCTGCTGCACACGGGGGCCGGTGGCGGCCCCGTAATCTTTCCCCAGAGCTCCAGGCAGCGGTGCCTCAGGCTGAGGCAAGGCTGGGAGCTGCCGTGAGGGCAGCAGAGAGCTCAGAGAAGGCAGGGCTGTGTCTTTGGTGGGAGCTCATCCTCCGGGACTTCCTTCAGGAGGGTCTGCTCGTGCTGACGGTGCCCCTCTGCTCCTGCTGAGAGCTGTTAAAAATAGGTTAAAAACTGTTGTAAAATAGTTGGTAGATCGTTAAGCATGTACTCTCAGTTTGGTTATTATATTGTAAAAGGGGTTAAAAAGGAAATCTGGTACTCAAGGTACCATAACACACCTCAGTAAAGCGCACCACGAGCCAGCCTGGACAGATGCAATGGCCAATCAAGGCCTAAAACCTTCATGCAGATGAAGGATCCAAACAGAAACCAATCCAAAGGGACAAAAAACAGGATAAAAAGGAGCTCCTGACCCACTGAATTGTGCTGCTCCATCTGGGACATCGGGGCAATCAGTGCTGAAAAGAAAACCCAGCGCTGGCGCTGCAGCATCCTTGAGGGAACGCTCCTGCTCAGCCCGGGCTCCCTTGCTTTAGGTCTTTCTTTTTCCTATAATAAATGCTCAAAATCACCCTTGCTTTAGGCCTTTCTTTTTTTATAATAAATGCTGAAAATCACTTCAGTACCAGGAGCCTGCTCTCATTTTTACCAGTTTTTACCCATCAGGGAGGAACCTGGGACCTCCTCCAATTGAAACGAGCCAGCCTGGACAGAACTGTAATGGATCAATCAAGGCCTAAAACTTTCATGTAAATGAAGGATCCAAAAAGAAACCAATCCAAAGGGTTGGAAAACCAATCCAAGGGACACTTGTGGCTCTTGGAGGACACAGACACTGAAATAGTCTTTCAGGCCACCTAATGCAGTAGATATGCAAGAGGACAAATCAAATTTAGACATGACTTAGATTGGGAGATATACTCACAAAGCAAATTTGTGTCGTTTTATGGGCTTGAAAGATTTTAAGTCAGAGGTCCCTGTATGGTTTGAATTAGGTTAGGATAGGGGTATTCTGGAAAGCCAGATCTGGAGAAATTTTTATTCAGGGCATTTGAAATTGAGTAGGGGCCATCCAGCTTTTCTGTAATAAATAATTATTCTCTCTTAAATAAAATATTATTCTCTCTTAAATAAAGTACTCCAGAACACAAGCTTTCACATGACAAAGAAAATTATGAATACCTGAAAATGGATAGATCTATTTGTAGTGTTTTTGTAGTATAATATAGCATGTATATAGCAGCAAGAAGCCCTTGGCAGCAGTGAGCTGGTTAATGGCTGCACTCAGTGATCCTCGAGGTCTTTTCCAACCTTGGTGATTGTGTGATTTCTGAGGCTGTTTCAGCGCAGGGATAAACCCCTGGCTCCCACTGCTGAGCTCAGCTGCCAGAAAAGTTCCCCGGGAAGTAGCACAATCTTTGTTTGGTCATTAAAGCAGAAAAAAGAGAGAGGGAATCTTAGGAAATGCTTGAAACGATTAGGTGATCTTAACTCTAAGGAGCTAAACAAATGCAAAGCAATTCCCCCCTCAGCCCCTCGTGCTGCTGTAGAATGTAATCTCATTTCTAAACACACAATTACAGAAAATAAAAAGAAAAGAAAAGAATAATTAATTTCTGCTTCCTCATGCAAATCCTCTGACCAATCATTTAGGGATCAGGGGCAATTCAGCTTCTTGTGCAAATTCCAAACTGAAGGCCTGAAAAAAAACAAGTGAATGGATTTACTTTTCTAAGAACCAGAATTAACAAAGGTTCCATTTTCCATGGTTATGTGCCTGGCCAGACAGCCCTTGCTGACAAGCTCTCAAAAAACATGTGTTGGCCTGTTGAAAAGGCCCCAGTGTTGACTGACAGACAATTGAAGTGACAAATTGTTTCATTGTACTTGGCAGGGAGAGCGCTGTATTAGATAATTATGGCGAGGAGGGAAGCGACAGGTCACAGGTCAGAAGACACGTCTGACCCTGTTTTCTGAAAGCCCTGAAAGGAGCCCATGCCCTTCAGGGAGAGCAGCGTGCTGCTGGGGCTGCTGGGGCTGCTGGGGCTGCTGGGGCTGCTGGGGCTGCTTCTCCTTCTGCTGGGCTGATTAGGAGCAAACCAAGATGGAGTGGGGACAAGCTGGCTCTGCTCTTGCCTCAGTTGTGGCTCCCAGGATGGAAAGTGGCTCTCAGAATGGGTGTGTGGCTCCCAGGATGGTGTGTGGCTCCAGGATGGATGTGTTGCTCCCAGTTTGGATGTGTGGCTCCCAGGATGGGCTCCCAGGACAGGAGTGTGGCTCCCAGGACAATTGTGTGCCTCCCAGGATGGGTGTGTGGCTCCCAGGATGGGCTCCCAGGATGGGTGTGTGGCTCCCACGATGGGTGTGTGGCTCCAGGATGGATGTGCAGCTCCCAGGATGGGTGTGCAACTCCCAGGATAGTCTCCCAGGACAATTGTGTGGCTCTCAGAATGGGTGTGTGGCCCCCAGGGTGGGTGTGTGCCTCTCAGAATGGATGTGTGGCTCCAGGATGGGCTCCCAGGACAGGTGTGTGACTCCCAGGACAATTNAATCAGGAGGCGGATTCAGCTCTTTTGGAAGTCAGCTGGCTCGGGCTGCAGTGGCCTCCACCAATCAGGGAGCGGCGTCCCGCTGCAACTTCTGAGCCAATGAGGAAGCGCAGGGAAGCTGTAGATGTTTCAGCCAATCAGGGCTCAGCAGGTTTGACACCTCCCGGCTCCAGGAGCAGGCACCAGGTGGGCACTGGGCATGAGAGAGAGCCAGGGACACAGCCAGGCACCAGGTGGGCACTGGGCATGAGAGAGAGCCAGGGACACAGCCCCAGTGCCAGGTGGGCACTGACCTTGATGGAGCCAGACCATGGACACAGGGACACAGCCCCAGTGCCAGGCACAGGGACACAGCCTGGACACAGAGACACAGCCCAGACAGAGGGACACAAGGACACAGCCCCCCTGCCTGGACACAAGGACACAGCCCCCAGTGCCAGGTGGCCACTGGCCCTGCTAGAGCCAGACCATGGACACAGGGACACAGCCTGGACATACAGACACAGCCTGGACACACAGACACAGCCCCCAGTGCCAGACACAGGGACACATGGACACTGCCTACAGCCTGCACACAGGGACAGACACCGGGACACAGCCCAGACACAGGGACAGCTCCCAGCACTAGGTGGGCACTGGCCCACCAGAGCCATCAAGCCTGGACACAGGGACACAGCCTGGACATACAGACACAGCCCCCAGTGCCAGACACACAGACACAGCCTGGACATACAGACACAGCCCAGACACACAGACAGAGCCTGGACACACAGACAGAGCCCCCAGCCCAGCCTGGACACACAGACACAGCCCAGACACACAGACACAGCCCCCAGTGCCAGACACACAGACACAGCCTGGACATACAGACACAGCCCCCAGTGCCAGACACACAGGCACAGCCTGGACATACAGACACAGCCCAGACACACAGACACAGCCCCCAGTGCCAGACACAGCCTGGACACACAGACACAGCCCAGACACACAGACACAGCCCCCAGTGCCAGACACAGCCTGGACACACAGACACAGCCCAGACACACAGACACAGCCCCCAGCCCTGGCACAGCCCCAGCCCAGCACTCCAGAGTCACCCCCAGCCCCGCTGCCACAACACACCTGCACACAGTTTAAGAAAAGGTTTACTGATCCATCAGTACTTCTGCCAATATTGCAACAGCTGTGAAAGGCAAACACTGTTACAGTTTAGAAAAAAAACAAATTTATACAATGAAAATATTAATCAAATCTCAACCCCCTCCCCCAGTGGCTGAGGAATGAGCCTGGAGTTCCACATCCAGTATTAGCACCTGCAGCACCACCAGCAACCAACCCAGCCCCTCCAGCCTGAACTCCTGAGGTCCTTGCACAACTGGACACTGACACTGGGCCCCTACACCAGGACACCTGGGCTGTGACACAGGAAAAGGATGGAAGGGGAGGGATTCAGGCAGCTTGGATTGTGGGGAGCTGCACTCGTGCAGGTTCTGCTGAGCAATGCACGGGGATGCTGAGGAATGCACAGCTCCACTCCTCAATGTGCGCCAGAAACAGAATTCAGAAATCCATCCTACACAGTATCTTACAGCTTGTCAAATCAATGTTTTCCTATAAATTATATATAAGAAATCCATAAAGAAACAGTTTTACACTTCACATATTAATCAGAGAAGGGTGGGAATTGTTATTTTTATTGGCTCAGCATCCACTTTACTGTGCTCACTGTTCCATGGCTGACCTGGCCAACAACAGCACAGACACAGGGGCAGACAAACCAGCAGGGTTAAAGTCTGGCTACAGCCCCCTCTCCCCAGGATAACCAAGACTTTAACTCAAGGAACACTTTTGCCTTTTGGTTTTCCACAAGGACCAGCACAGGAGCTGCTGCCTTGGGTCACTCCTCACTGGGAAGAGGCTCTGTGTATCTCTGCACTCTTACACTGAACTGGAGAGAAATTCCCAACTTGGAGCTGGAGCTTTCCAAAGCCCAACTGACACACAGAAGGGTTTAAGAACCAGGGACAAACAGCACTGCACTTACAGGACTAAAACTAAACCTCTGTTGGGCTCAGAGCCCCATTTCTTTCAGGAGACAACACAGCTTTACCACTTCTGCCTTTTCTTGAGGAAAAAAAAAAAAAGAAAACCCCAAACCAAACAAAAACTAAAAAGTGATCCTCTTGCTTCCAAATCTACTGCAAAGTGGATGCTGACCAGCTAGGTCACCCCTGGGGAGCAGTTGGAGGAAGTTAGTCCTTGTAGTAGATGGCACTGTGGATCTGGCAGCAGAGAAAGGAATGATGCTCTAAAGTAGGAGGTAGGGGAACCTTGGTACAGCGAGTCCACCGGTGAGCTGGCATCTGGAAAAGAAGTTCTGGTGGTTAAAACTCCTCCCAGGCCAAACCAAATCTCCCCTACACAAACCTTTCTGCAGTTACCACTTGCTGTGGTGAGCAGGGTGAGCAGAATCCAGAGCTCTCAATTCCAGCAGTCCCAACAAAAAATAAGCACTTTTACTATTTGCTTCTTTTCCCATAAATATAAATATTTCCCACTCTTTTCTGCACATACTGCCAACAATCTGAACTTAACTCTCCCATCCCAGGGCCTGCAGAGCAGCCAACACAAGGGAGCCAGTCCCAGTGTCACCTTTCCAAAAGCTGACAGTAATTTTGGTGGTTTATATTGGATACAATTACCATGAGCCCCTGTTATATTTTCTGAAAAATCTCTTTGGCCAGGATTTTGCTCCTGGGAGGCTGAGAAGCCTCAGAGAAAAATGAAAACAATAATTATCTGATTCGCTTCTCCTGTGTTTTGCTACTTTGGAATATATTTGCACATTGTAATTGTTTCACTGATTTCATGTAAATTGTTTTTACTTAATGACCAATCAGTGTCTGGAAGGAGTCACAAGTTTTTAATTAGTATCTTTTAGCCTTCTATAAGTATCTTTTCTCTATTCTTTAGTATAGTTAAGTACAGTATTCTTTTATATTTTATTTATGGTGTATTTATATATATAATTTTATATATTTATAATATATAATATAAATAATATGTATAATATATATAACATTTATAATTATTACAATTATATTTTATACTATATATATTATATAGTATATATAATATATATTACATATAGAATGCATAGAATATATTTATATTTATAATAAATAAAATAATAAATTAGCCTTCTAAAAACATGAAGTCAAATTCACCACTCCTCCCTTCAATGGGGGACCCCAAAAAATACCACAAGGCCCAGTCCTGCAAACACCCCTCACTTTGTGAGAGCAGCACCAAGAGAGCTGAGAGCCTCTCAGCAAAGCTTTTCAAACCTGCTGGGCTTTTTTACCTGAAAACATCACAAGTAAAGACATCAGCATGATAACCAGAACTGCAGCCAACTGAAAAACTGACACAAAAAGTCTCTGTATGCTGAGTACACCCAGAGACAGAACCCATTTTACTGACCTGAGAGGAATTTTGGACATGATATAGCACAAGTTAGCAAATTTACACAATCCAGACTCAAATTTCTCCTAGGTTAAGCAACATCCTGCCCAGTACTGATATTTTTATTTTCAAGAGCTGGTTCACAGAGGATTTATGTGAACAATCTTTGGTTATGTACAAGGGTGAGATAAACTCTGAGCATGACATTTCTGAGCACAGAAAGATGTTGAGACTGATCTAAGTGTAACACATACCTGAGACTCCACAGTTTTATCTTCCACTGGTCAAACCTCTGTCTTCATAAATGGTAATTTCAATCTACATAGAAAAGCTGTTAGGGAAACACACTATAAAGAGACTATGAAAACATACTCAGAAAAAGGCAAAAAGACATTAAGATTATGGAACTTTTGATATTTTAGCTGCTTAAAGGCAGGTCCCAGAGCTCTAAAGCAAAAGGAACAATCTATGTGAGATGGCTCATCAGGTAAGAGCACTGGCTCCCAGCCCAGGAACTCAGTGTGGGTTTGAGTCTTGTCCCCCTGATAAATTTTGGGGAAGGCTGTGCACTAAGCAAAAAAAAAAAGTTAATAGTGCTAAAAAGTCACCTCCAAACTGAAAATGCTTTTACTCAAGTTGAATGCTGAAGGTGTATGCACAATGGAAAACACAGTGAGGAAAAAGGAGTTGTGGAGGTGACAGCTCTGAGCTGTTTGGACAAGGACACAGAAAATCCAACTGCAAGGAATGAACCTTACCATACACTGGGTTCCAATTGCTGTGGTTTCAATATTTTCAAAGAAAGATGTGTTGCTCATTATACTTCTCCATTTGCTAAGGTCTTTACAACTTCAGGCAATAACCACAAAAAATGTCTGGTACAAGCCCCTGGTGAGCTATCAGCTACAAAAGAAGTTCAGAAACTCCTCCTAAGTCAAACCAAAAGCTCCCCTGCACAAACCTTTCCAGGCAGGACTTGCCTTGCCTTGCAGGCATTTCTCTTAACAAGTTTTTATTCAGAAAAGCATCAAATGAGACTTTAACTGTGAGGATACTACAGAATTTGAGCACAGGATGCTGTACCTGGTGGTGAGGGGTGACAATGAGAAGTGGGGCAAGTTCTTCCCCCAGAGGGGAAAGTGTGGCTCAACAGCTGAAGAAAAAGGGTTGAAACAAAGCACAGTGGAGCAAGAGCAAGTGCTGGGCTTGCAGTGATGTTTGTATGTCAAAATCTTCAGCAGAACCTGAGCTGAGGGTTGCACATTAACTGACAGCCAGGTCTTGTTCTTACAACATCAATTTCTGTCCTACAACACAGACAGAAAATCAGAATCTCTGGAGGTTACTGGAATAGAGAAAGGATCTCAAGTTACAAAGGTTGGGTTCCACATCTTCATGTGCCAAATCTTAACACACCAAAACCTGACTGGGGACCAGAACACAACAAACAGCAACAATCCCTGAGTCTGTATCCCAGATCAAGCATGAGCAGTGGTGCTTCACTGACACAAACCAGAAGGCACAGAAGGATACAACTCTTAATCCTCTTTCAATGGGGTCTGTCAGCAGAAGGCCCTGAGGAGCGTAGATCTTCTCATTCTGTTCCTGAATGAACTTAGCAATTTTCTTTAGAACCTGGGGATGAAACAGCACAAAAGGCACAGCAAGGCCAAGGTGAGAACTGACACACAACTGCTCTGGTGGATTCACAGTGCAGGATTCAGGGTGACCCCCATGGACCCAAACTGAGCAGTACCAGCATGTCTGAGGTAAAGAAATACGTTACATTACATTCTAGAATGATGATATTATAGAATGCCTATATTATATTATATTATTATAGAATGCTTATAATGCTAATAATTGTATTTTAGAATGCTTATATTGTATCATAGAATGCTTATATCATATTGCAGAATATTATGTTATAGAATGCTTATATTACATTATATTACATTATATTACATTATATTACATTATATTACATTATATTACATTATATTACATTATATTACATTATAGAATGCTTATTCTATATTATAGAATGCTTACATTATATCATAGAATGTTTACATTATATTGCAGAATGCTGATATTATATTATAGAATGCTTATATTATATTATAGAATG